TGTCCTTGTCACCAAAAGTAGCAACGTTGGGCTGTTTCGCGCAATTTTCACTGACTAGCTTCGTTTTTCTTTTGACAACTTTACAACATTTTTAGTAAATTTTTTATTCATTTTACTTGCATTCATTTTTTTTTTTCTTTTACATTGCGCTACTCTACTGACTGACTGGTTGTCTGACTAACTGATTGCTTAGTGCAAGTTGCGGGGTAGTCTGCTTTTAGGCGATTAAAGTGAGTGCTAGCAAAGGGAATGCAGAGGAAGGAACTTTAGATTTACTATCAACGACTTTTTGTAAACCAATGTCATTTTTAGAGCGTAATCTCAAAGAAATGGATTAGGTTAGGTTAGGTTAGGTTGATGTGGCAGTCGGTTCAATTTACCAACTCACTTAGACCTTTTGAAGGTCCATTGTGGTACCACTGCAGAACACGGGAACCTCGGTGACTATTCTTCAGAGAACCAATTTGAGGCTCTTATAAAGCGTAGTATCGGTTTTATTCCTACGCGTGATAATTCCGTAAGAGAGCTAAAGAAGGGCCTGCCTAAAAAGCTTGCTCTCCTCTTAGCCAAAGCTGGGCAACTACAGAAGAAGTGCTCTACGGTTTCTTCCTCTTCCTCATCCCTGCAACTTCTGCAATATTCATGGGAGAAAATTCCAAGCCTTGAAGAGTGCCTGCCAAATAGCCAATGACCGGTTACACAAGCCGTGACCTTCGCAATGTCCTCTCTTGAGAGGCACAGCAACTCTTTCGTCTTTTTCTTTTCTATTTGCGGCCAAAGCAGCCTGGTTGTTCTACATGTGCCCTCCTCTAGCCATGACCTGTTGGCCTCTTGGATCATGCTATTTCGAAGTTCTAATTTGCAGGTTGCCATGGGTATCCCAATAGTGCCCCTGTTTTCACATAGGGGTAGATTCGTACCTTTCCTGGCTAGCTCATCGGCCCTGCAGTTTCCTTCAATATCTCTGTGTCCCGGNAGCCACCTCCTTTATAGCTAAAACTTCTGCCTGATATACACTGCAGTGGTCCGGAAGAAATGGATTAGAATAGATAATCTGAGGATTTTTCGAAGACATTTTTCTTATTTTATTTTATCATAATTTTGTTTTATAATAATCTTTTATTATTTTGTTATACTTTCTAACTTTTTATATTTAGTTTGTAAAATTTTTAAATCCTTTATTTCTTATATTTTTTTTTAATTTAATAAAATTGTTTCAATATTCTTATCTTTTTAATTTCTTAAATTTTTTTTCTAGCCCTTTCCATCCTCAAGCGAAACTTTTGTCCTACAGCATGATTGTATGTCCCTAAGTCTCTCAAATTTAATTAAAAAGGGTTAAAAATTCCCAAGCTATTGTTTATTGCATCGTCTGCAAGGTGTGCAAACTGGCTTTAGTTTTTCGAAAATTCAAATTATATAAAAAAGTAGATCAATTATTACAAACTAGGTATCAATCGAAATGGTTTTGAAAAGCTTTCTAGCTGAACTAACTATAAGAGGGTTGCCCACTGTTTAAAATATCATATTAGGTAAAAGACATATCGTCACTACACACGAATAAAGGCGCGCTAGTGTTTTGACGGCGAAAAAAGGCGCGTAAAAAAATTTTGCGAAAAAAGTTGCTTATGAAAAACTTCGTCGAAGTATGCTAGGAGTCTTTGACGCTGAAGTTTTTTTATGCTTCTTTTTTCGCAGTCAACTTTGGAGCTCGCGCCTTTATTCGTGTCTAGTGGCGATATGTATCACCATATGGGTGCCAAACGAATGGGGTTTTAGAAAGTACTTTGAAAATATTTTGAAGAGGGTTACCACCTGCTTGAAATGTCAAATTTAGTTAACTTATACTCAAATGTCGGCCGCTGTGGTGTAGTGATAAGCCGTGCGCGCTTCCACTCCATAGGGCCTGGGTTCAAGCCCTGGCCAAAGCAACATCGCAAAAAAGCCTCCGAGTTATTTCTGCCATGGAAAACAGCTTCTCATAAAAATAAAATCGCCGTTGTGAGTCGGCGTAAAACTGTAGGTCCCTCCCATTTTGTGTGACAACATCAACGCCCACGCCACAAATCGGGGGGGAAGCGCGGCCAAAGACTAACGTATGTGTAAGCGCCAATCTATTATTATCTATATATTAATACGCTAACATGAATTTTGTCTCCGTTCGTTTGGAAATTCTACCAAACCGATTTCCAAACCAAGAACACCATTGGAAAGACATTTTTCCGTAGATGAGCAGAGTTTTTATGATTTCACAATTGCTTGAAAATTACGCCCAAAACCGTCGATTAAACATTTTCGAATTGTGTATAGATGTTGCTTGAACATGTTCAATTTGACATGTTTCGCCTGTAGTTTCACTACACATTTGAAATTAAGCTTTGAAATAAAGATAAATATGAAGATGAAGAAATAAATGATAACGATGAAGTAAAAAAAAGAATGCAAAAGTGAAGATAAAGACGAAAATGGAGGCAATGACAGATACATAAGAATTAGGGTAACTGAAGGGGTAAGAACATTTCTTGAATTTATGAAGTGAAACTTCTTTAGCGGCAGTTGGTTGGTTAGTAGTAAATTGTCAAATTCAAGGGGAATTATGCACATGGAAATGGTTTTCAGCGGTTTAGCGGTTTGAGAATAAAAACAAAAACAAAGATACCTAGAGGTACAGGCAAAAACGAAGATCAAAGTAAATTTAAACACTTTAAGGTAAAGGTGAAGAGGAATATGCAAAAATAAAGATAAATATGAAGAAAAGGATGAGGATGAAGATCGATATTGTTATCGATATAAAACTCGATATTTTTATCGATATAATAATCGATATTGCTATCGATAAAATAATCGATATTGTTATCGATACTGTTATTGATTAAATAACCGCTATTGTAATCGATATAATAATCAATATGATAATCGCTTAAATAATTGATTTTGTTATCGATTTAGTCATTTATATTGTTAACGATATGTGCAATAATTATTGTAATCGATACTGATGATTGTTATATTTATCGAGAAATTAATCGATTTTACAATCG